AACGTGTGTGGGGGGTTAGGGTTAAGGTCCATCCACCGTAAAACATGCAAAATTTGACCTGATAAAAAAAAAAAAAAACAACAAAACCTTTTGTCTCATCGTGATCGCCATAAAAAATTTATTTCGTATTATCGAATTTTCTTTTTTCCTTTCTTTTCTTTCTTTCTCCCCCCCTCCCCCTCTCCCGATTCTTTTAAGAATCAATTTCAAATTAATTACAGGTGAGATAATGATAATTTTTTAAAGGGTCTTTAATTAATCCCCACGAAAAAATTTTTATACCCTCTCGGATGTTTTTTTGGAAAAATCATGGAACTGTCAGTCACAACCTTTTTCCAGAAATCGTTATCAATCATTACGACCACGTTTTAAACGTTTATGCAAACAACAAACAAACAAACAAACGGCGTCTTTCGAAAAAAAAAAAAAAATTATTGAAACGAAAAGTGGGAAAAATTAATTATAAAAATTATTAACGATGGTTTTTATTATTATCATTATTATTATTTTTTTTATTATCGCAAAGGTAGCGTAAAATTTTTTTTTTTTAAATTTAAAAAGTAATAACAGCATTTTTTTAATAACGATAACAACAACAACAATATTAATAATATTTATATAAGTTTTTGATAAAAAAAAAAAAAAAAGTTTGCATTTTGGCAAAAGCAACCATTCACTAAGATTGAATGAATTGAATGAATGTTTAGATGATTGAATGAATCGTCGTGTAAATCGCGTTTTGTAAATTAAGAAATGAAGTATAAATAAATAATAATAATAATGATTAATAATTTTTGAAACGACAACAATTAATTTAATAAAAAAAAAAAAAAAAATTAATAATATTCAAAGCAAACTGATATTCTCTTTTATAAAATTCCCTTACTCTTATCCTCATCATTATTGTTTTTGTTATTATTATTATTATTATTATTATTATTATTATTATTATTATTATTATTATTTATTTATTTATTTATTTATTTATTTATTTATTTTTATCCATGATCACACACTTTCTTTCTATTCATTCGTTACAAAAAATTTCTACCTCATTCATTAAGATTAGATAATGATATGGTTCGGCGATTTTCAAAAACCTTCTCATTCGTAAAACTCCCACACAATTATTATTATTATTATTATTATTATTAATATTATTATTATTGTTGTTGTTGTTGTTTTTATAATGAAGCAATCAAAAGAAATATGAATAAAATATTTTTTTTTTTTTTAAACAAAATTTATGAATTTTTTTGTTATCGAATAGCTAAATAACATGTCCTCAGGGGAAAAAAAAAAAAAAATAATCATAATCATCATCATCATCATCATCATCATCATCATCATCATCATCATCATTGTAATCATCATTATCATCACCACATTACAACTTACAACTTTTTTTTTACTTCATACCTCAAACCCATACATCTATACACACAAAACGAAAACAAGGCTCAGTCAAAAATTTTTTTTTTTTTATTTGGTTCGATAACAAGAACAATAATAATAATAATAACATTAAACTTTGGTGTAATGAAAATTCACAAAAAAGATTTACTTTTCCCAATGGGGATAAATGACAATGATAATTTATTATTATTTTAACAAGTTGAGAAGTTAATTAAGAACTCAAACTTTTTATGTAAAAAGTATTCGAAAAACAAAAAAAAAAAAAAAAAAAGATTTAAATCAAATTACATGTTTGTATGTATTCATTGTGAAATGTGTGTCATTAAATAATAATAATAATAATAATGATGGAAAAAAAAGAAAGAAAAATTAAAAAAAAATTAAAATTAATATAAATTAGATCTAATTAAACCCAATAAATATTAATGACCTAAAATTTTCCTTTTTTTTTATTATTTTTTTTTTTCGCTTGTTACTAATGAATGTATTCATTCCAACCGAACAAAAGATTGTGATAAAAAATAATAATAATAAGCAAAAAAAAAAAAAAGAAGAGTTATTAATAATAAAGATAACAAAAAAAAAAAAAAAAAATTTCAATGGTGAAATTATTTTTTACTCTTCTATGTGTGTGTGTGTGTGTGTGAAATTACTACATTTTGATTAATGACTCGAAGCAACAATTTAAAATTAATCTTGGGAAAATTTTTTTTTTTATGAATTTTATAAAATAATTTTAATTGGATTGTTTTATATATATTCAACCACTCAACAATCGGAAAGGGAGAGAACAAAAAAAAATAAAGTTAATAAAAAATAAATCTTACTTGTTTCCCTTGTTTAGGCACACTTTCACCATTTGTACCATTAACAATTATGTTATTCGATGTTGTTTTATTTTTCAATTCACGTCTTTCAGGTATATCTTCTGTGATCATTTTGATCATAAATGAAAATCACTTGTTTTTCACATAAAAAAAAAAATACCACAAAACATATTTTCAACAACAAGTTTTTTTTACTTTTAACTAATCACCATTTTAATTAAACATGACCACTATTATAAAATTACAGAAAAATTAATTTTAAATGACTTTTTTTCTCTCTCACACACAAACTTATACCTGTAATTTAAATCATTTTAATAAATTAACTTCATAAAAAAGGTAACACGAACAAAAAACTTTTTTAATTATGATTAAACTTAATTTGTAAAAATCAACTGTCACTGTGAAACCAAAAAGAAAAAAACCGCCAAATTTTTTGCGCTGTGAAAAATTATAATTTATTAAAAACGATCGAAAATTAGTTATTTTGACAAAAACCTTTCGAAAATTATTATTATTATTATTATTATTCACTTTTACGAAACCTTATTTAATTTAATATAAAATTTAAAACGTTTAAAAATAAAAAATTAAAAAAAAATTAAAAAATAAAATTCGTTTCATTTAACGCGGCAATTAATCATAGAATAATGAAATTAAGTATACCAATCGTAATTCAAAAAAAAAAAAAAAAAAAAAAAAAAAATTATTTAATTATAACGAGAAAGAGAGAGAGAGATAGAGATAGAAAAAAAAAGACTTAAAACAACCGAATTTTTTTTAAATAATCGATAATAACACGAACAAATCAAAAAAAAAAAAAAAAAGAAAATTAAAATATACAAACTAACAGTAAAACTCGGAGTATTTGATATAATTTACAAAAATGAAAAATATAACCCGCTCTCGTTCGACAATTACAGTACACTCTCGGACGCTACCGCTTAATGTGCGCGTAAGTTAAAAATTGAAGCGGGATTCAGGGTTACCAACTTAATTTTTTTTAATATTCTTTATTTCGATTAAATTAATGAATTAATGAATTTTTTATTATTTTTTAAAATACTTTAAATCTTTTTTTTAAAATAATAAATTTAATTCTTTTAAAATAAATATTTTCATATACGTATTTTATTTACAATTTTCGTTTTTTTTTTTTTTTCAAATAAATTTTTTTTTATACAGAGCGCGCCACATGACACTATTAAAATCATTGATTTATAATTTAAGTTGAAATCCTGCGCAATGCAATTTGGCTTCTCATCAAATTTAATAATCTACGTTATTAAAATGGAATAATTTAAAACATAAAAAAAAAAACAAATTAACTCCCTCGTATGAAAAATGATTACTCTTAATTAATCTAATGTGCTCAAATGCATTTTTACGTATGGAGCCTATAACCATAACTTCTCCCATTTTAACATCTTACACTTCCCTGAATGAAAAACTTCTTAAAACATTTAATAAAAATTTTATAAGATTCTGACCCATTTAATAAAATCCAACATTATTTCAACACATAATAATAACTTAATAAAATAGCAAATAATTTAAAATTTATTTTAAAAAAAGGAAGGAAGGTTAAATGTATATGTCAATGAATTTAAATAAATCAATTTGGACTAAAACAATTTTTATTCATTTATTTTTTTAAAAAAAAAAGAAAAAAAAAAGAACATGTATATGGTTATAGAATAAAATTTGCATCGCCCAACAGCAGCAGCAGCATCATCATCATCATCCTTCTCACTGTAACAAAAATAAAAAAAAGAAAAAGTACATTAGTATCGAAACAAGAATAAAATAAAAAAAATGATAACAAATTAATAAATTAATCAAAATGCATTTTTTTACAAGCCGAAAAATAAAACAAATAACAAAAACAAAAATAAATAAATAAATAAATGATTTTAATCAAACAATTATTAATGATGCAAAAAACTAAAACAATTTAAATGACACAAATGTTATGTTTACTAAACATAAATTCAATTACAATTTTAAAAAAATTCTGTAAAAGAAAATAATTGGATCAATTGAAAAAAAAAAAAACAAAAAGTTAAAAATTAATAATTAATAATTAATTCAAAATTTAAACAAACTACTTTTCTACATTTAAAAAAGGAAACCAGATGAGAAAATATTTTTTAAATGAAAAAATTGATAAAATCAAGCTCAAGTTTGCAAAATTCAAACAAAATCTAGAATTAGAAGAGAAAAAAAAAGAAAAAGAGCAAAAAGAGCAGACAGAATAAAAAGCTAAATTTTAAATACATTTAACGCATGGTTTGTTAATAGTTTAAAAAACGGGAGACTTCCCCCCCCCCAGACAAAATTATTCGATTGTTAACTTGATAATTCAGCATTTGCTAATCAGACCTGTTAATTCTCCATCTCTCTCTCTCTCTCTCTCTCTCTCACATTCATACAAACACAAATGCATCAGAATTTTCCATCGCCTCAATGATTTCATTCATATTTGAAAATTTTTTCTTTTATTATTATTATTATTATTATTATTTATTAATTCCATTTTCCTACATGAAAATTTAACTTATTTAAAATTTAGCTTTGAATTTTTTTTTTTTTTTTTTTTTTCATCGACTCGGTTAATAAAAAAAAAAAAAAAGCATTAAAAATGATTAACAAGCTGTTAGCAAAAAGTTGTTAGTAAAAAGCAAAATTTTTTTTCAAAGTTAATAAATAAATGAACAAAGATTAAAAAAAAAAAAAAAAAAAAGAGACATTATGCATTTAATACCCAAAATCCATATTTCTTTTAATTCCTCCTTTATTTCTTGCCACCCTGAAAGTTAAAAACTTGCATTTAGATGAACAAAGCTATTATCCGGACAAATTGAAATTTACCATTAAAAAAAAAAACAAAAGAAAGAAATAATTATAATGATTATAAATATCACTTTTCATTTTCTATAATCGAAAGTCGATTTTAATCAATCAAAAAAAAAAAAATGAAAAGTTTTATTTACATTATGATGCACCGAGAACAAAACAAAAAAAAAAAAAAAAAAAAAATAATGAGAAAATACTCAAAAGTATCTCATGAAATATGTTTTTTTATAAAAAAATACCCTTAAAGCCCCTCATTTAAAAACCCCATTCATTAATGCAATAATTTTAAATGTCGGTTAAAAATTTTTTTTTTTTTTTTTTTTCATTCCCCACCCTCTTCGTGTTTGTGTTAAATCGATGTGAGAGAATTTATTATTATTATTATTATAATTACCTTTTTGGCAGATGCAGCTCCCACCTTACTCTTCTTTGTACCTCTAACCTTCTTCATTCTGTTCTTTCTTTCCTTTCTTTGCTTTCTAGTTTGAGTTTTCTTTTCGTACAACCCATGCCTTGCGAGCCTGTGTTTTGGCTCAAATTTTTTCGCATAGTCTAAAGTATCGTATATTAAACCGAATCCTGTTGTTTTACCACCTCCAAAATTAGTCCTAAAACCGAAAACAAAAACTACATCTGGCGTAGTCTTGTACATTTTGGCTAATTTTTCTCTTATTTCTGTTTTTTTAACCGTGGGCTGTCTCGGATGAAACACATCCACCACCTGAAATTGTTTATTAATTATTATTACTTCGAATCCTTTTTATTACTAATAAGAGTAGAAAAATAAACTTTTAAAATAATTACCATTTGTTTTCGACTTAACAGTCGATTGGTCATGAACTTTCTAGTCCTGATTGTGGCTGTGCCTTCCGTCTAAAACAAACATAAAGATGATATTTAAAATACAACACACAACTTGCATTAATAGAAATGTAAAATCATTTAAGTGTATAAAAAAAAATTGTTGAAATCCGCAAAGCCAAGCAGAACTATCACCATTAATTAATTTATTAATTTAGGTATAGTAATCCTGGGTGAAGTAATTCCAAAATTATTTTATGACAGATTGAAAATGCTGCAACTAAATTAAATTGCAACAGGAACAATTGTCAATATGAATTTAACTCATCATAAAATTCAGAGTTTTTCTTGTTTTCAATACATTATTTAAAACTTGTATATATTAAAAGATTTAATTTTAATTTCATATTTCATTTGAAATAATTATAAAAAGTAAAAAATTAAGTTGACAATAATAAAAACTAGGCGCTTTCAAAAATAACCTAGTACAGGTATAAAAAGGTTTTCAATGCATAAATTAAAAATGTTTAATTAGAAAAAGAAAAATTTATTTACTAATAAAAGCATAAGTAATAAGATGTTTGAGATAATTGAGAATTATTATTTGAATAAATCTTACCATCGTGCACGACAAATAAACACCACCATTAACTTAGAGAAAGAATATACACGTGGCTTTAGAAATTTACAATATTTTTTTAATCACAGCCTTCTAACAAACATTAAAAAAACTTTGCAATTGTATTATCATGAAATAATTATTCTTCTGCTTGTGTTATTTTAAATTTTTTAATTTTAAAATGAATATTGTTCGTGTTTTACCGAGATTAGCTGCAAATAAAACTTTGTTAACGAATAAAAAATTTATTCAACCCAAATTAGTCAGATATGCATCTGATAATTTCGAATGGTAAATATCATTAAATTATTCAAATTATTTTTAATAATCTTTTTGTTTTAGTACTATTTTTTTAATATTTTTTAATTTTTATTATTTTCTTTTAAAATAAAGTTAATTTCTTTTTTTTTTTAGGGCCTATAGAACAATTCCTGAAATCACTAAAGAAAACCATGCACTACTAGTTAGATGGTCTGCATTTGCTTGGTGGTGGATTTTATGGAATCTGTTTACGGAATACGAAGAATTATTTTCTCTTAATGAACCTAATCCTAATAAGTGGACAGACAAAGAATTGGGTATACCAGAATAATAATAATAATATTGTAATGTAGTAGTATGTATGTATTATAATTTTTTTTGATTAATTATTTTAAAAGTAACTAAATATTACTGAAATTTTTTTTTTAAAATGTGTAAAACATGCCAATCGATAACTTTCAACGATTAATTAACATCTTATAAATATATATATATAATTGCACAGTTACTCATAGCAAACATTTTTTTTTAATTTTATTATTTAAACCCTAAAATATTTAATAATTCGATTTAAAAATAAGAACTTTGACAATTACTTTTTTTATTCAAATAATTTTATATTTTTATTTTAAAATAAATTAAAAAACAAGAGAAAAACACACAAAAATGTATGTATATATGAAAGGGAATCAAGTCTTAAAATAGATAATTTCATTAAATTAAATAAATATTAAAAATCACAGTTGAAGATTTGTAGAACAGCCATGGTTCATTCTATATTCTACATATTTAATACCAGTATTATGCCAATAATATAGAGCACCGACGACAAAAAAATGCCACCATTGATGAGAACTTCCGATAAAATCGACCTTACCTGAACAAAATCTTTCAGGGATTTTAGTTATGTATATGATAAAAGCCATTGAACTAATAGCATACATTCCAAGAACTCTTGGCAAGAGTAACTACAAAAAAAAAGAAAAAAATCCTGAATTTGAGAAAAAGTTTAAGAAAAAGCAAAAAAATTATTAAAATCGATGAGAAACCTCAACGACAGGATTTGCAATTCCTCCCATAATAACAGTCCAATGAAACGTAGGAACTACACCGTAAGCACCCCATGCAACGAAAACCATTAATTTTAAATTTGAGCTAACGTTTAATCTTGGCATTTGTAATATCATAGCAAAAACAAAAATTAAAAAAACCGTAGAAAGATAAAATCGCTGCCACATCTAAAAAACAGAGAAAGATTTGATTAAATTATCATTGAAAATAAAAAGAAAAAGAAAATTTTCAAAAGGAAACTCACCACGTGACACCAAAACGCATAATAAATCCCCGATAAATAAATTGCTAATAAACTTAAACTAATCCCTAATAAATCGTATGTTAAATAATAATCGTAATCCTTTTCCGACCGACAGGAAAACGTGTGATACAGCGAAGATAAAATCATACAAATCTGTGTAAATGGAAAAAAATTTAATTTGTGATTATGGTTTACAACAGCAGCAACAGCAGCAGCAGCTTAAATAAAACTTACTTGAAAACAAGCAAGCAACACTCCAACGATAAATTTATCGGTAAACGATGCGTGGATATTTAATAATAATAAATCGTATAAAGTTAAACCTAAAAACAACATCCATCCGAATATGTGACTCCAAATATTTATTGTTTCGTTTGTCCACCAGAATATGCTAAAGGAAAAAAATTATCATTATCATCATCATTATTATTATTCATTATAAAGTTTAAAGGAACCCCCTTTTGCGTGCTTACCTTTCCAAACACATTTTTGTTGACAAACAACCCCTATATCCTGTTCTTATATATGGATTATGTTGAAGATGAGGAGGTGCTTCGTTATAAGACAGCAAAACAATATTATCATCATCATTATCATCATCTTCTCCAGCATATCCGTTTTTAATTTTTTCACTCTTTGATTTCACCTTAACGATAATAATAATAATAATATTAATTACCTTTTTTTTCTTATTAATTTTTTATTTATTCAATTGATTTTTTTTTTTTTTTTTGTTTTGAATTCTTATAAAGAACGATTGGTTTATTTAAAAAAAAAAAAATTATTTATTAATAATTTATTCAGAAAATTATTAATTTATTAATTAATTAATGAAACGACAACAATTAATAAAACGTCCTTCGTTTATTAATTTTTTTTCTTTTACAAAATAAAAATCTAACGACAGGAAAAAAAAAGTAATTAAAATTAAAATTTTTTTTTTTGCGGGGAGAGGGAGGGGAGTAAAACGAAATAAAATTACGTAATAAAATTTATTATTGTAATTTTTATTACTTTTGATATGCTTTTTATATAATAATAATAATAATAAATGGTATCAATCATTTATGTGTTGCAAAAATAACAAAATTAGGTTGACATCTTTTTTTTTTTTTTTTTTAAATTGAATTGACTAAAAATGAAAGTTTTTGTTGTAATTTTTTTATCAATTCCGAAAAAAATTATAAATTTTGTTAAGTCATCATCATCATCATCATCATCTCCAAATAATAGCAATAATAATAATAATAATAATAATAAAACGCAATTAAAATTCCACAAAAAGTTTTTTATTATTTATTTTGTTGATTTCTCTTTTCTTTTCTTTTTTTTTCTAAATACAAAAAAAAAAAAAAAAAATGGAGTAAATCCTTAAAAACTTCGAAACACACAAAATCGTTTTCAAGACTTAAAATAATAATAATAATAATAATAATAATAATAATAATAATAATAATAATAATAATGATAATGATAATAATAATTTTTCTTTTTACGCAACTCAAAATAATTTCATTCGATTATGTTTATCGTAAAGAAACGTTTCTTCGGCATTATTTTTTATTTATTTATTTTTTTTAAATTTGTAAAGTGCTATAATTATTATTATTATTTACTTAAATATATGTACGCACTTCCCTCCTCCCCCACACGCCTCCCTCACGTGAGAATTTTTGCCTGTCTTCTGCACAAAATAATTCTCGAGCTTGATAATCTAATATCGAACTGGGGGGAAAAAAAACGGACGTTTTTAAGAGAATTCCATTTATTATCCCGTCATCATCATTATTATTATTACAAGGGGTTATAAAATTTACCGTCGTAATAATAATAATAATAATAATAACGATAGTAATAACACGAAAAAAAAAGATTCAGGGGGTAAGGGGTGAGTGAAATTTATAAAAATATGGAAATTTAAATATTATACTTGAATGTGAAAAATTATTCCAGTCGTCGTGCGGCTGGAGTTTTGGAACCCGAATCAAAATTTTCTATAATAAAAACGAATGGCTGGAAAAATTATGACGTAATAATTTATTTATTTTCCGTTTAAACTATTTTTTAAATCCTGCGTGGAAATCGAAGAAAAGTTTTTAACGTAAAAGAAAAGTTAAGGTTTTGAATCCGCATGTGATGCCAATTTTCTCATTTTATTAATAATAATAATAATAATAATAATAATAAGGAATAGGGAACCTGGAATGGATGAAATAAACCTGGAACGAATGCTTAAAATCCCCGACAAGTAAAAATCATGTTTAAAAACATCAACAAAATCACGTTTAAAAATGAAATAATAATAATAATGATAATGTTAATTGATTTCGTCTCGTTCTTGGGATAAAACCAAAAATAAATAATAATAATGATGATGATGATGATGATTTTATAATCGATCCTTTCGATACATATAAAAAAAAATTACCGCGATAATAATAATAATAATAATAATAATAATTTTTTGTTTGTTTCTTGAAAAAAGGAAAAAAATTTAATAATTAAAAGGTTTGAGCGAATTTTTTTTTTTTTTTTTGATTTTTTGAATTATTTAAATGCCATCGTATTTTACTATCTCTCTTCCTTCCTCTCTCTCTCCCCCCCCTCTCTCTCTCTCTCTCTTTCTCTCTTTCGTTTTCAAATCCACTCCGTAGAAAATAATAATAATAATAATAGTAATAAAAAATTGATTTTTCACGTTATCACGTTATTACTTTTTCGTTTTTCTTTTTGCTTTAACCAACAAATAATATTTTAAAATCATTTTTAAAAAAAAATAATATAATATATAAATCGATAGTTAATTTTTTTCTGTCACGTTCCTTCCCACGAAATTTATTTATTTATTTATTTTTGTTATTAAACCTCAATAATTTCGTTAATTATTTAACAACAACAACAACAATTTTCTCATGAAGTGATAAAACCGATAAAAATTATTTTCTTTTAAAAGAAAAAAATTTCGTTTTGATGCTCGAAAAAAAAGGAAAAAAAAAAGGAAAACGCGAATTTATTTGATTCCCCCCTCCTTACCCCCTCCCTCCCTTCCCCGCTTCCTGCAAACAAAGAAAAAGAAAAAAAGTTTTTTTGCCAAATTCAAAAACATAATTTAAAAGAAGTTTAAATACGCGAAAAAAATTTTTTTTTTATTAAAAACTCGTAAAATAAAATTTTTTTTTTATATTTTTACGTTCCAAAAATTTCCCCTTCCCCTCCTCCTCACTCTTCCCCCCTAAAAAAAAAAAAATGATTTCCTTTCAATACAAAATTTTCCTTTCCTTTTCTTTCCTATAAATTTCTTTCATTCTCCAAAAAAAAAAAAAAAAAAATGAAAAAATGCATCTTTAAACGAGTTGGCCTGTCAGCATTATATTCGTAAATGCATACCAAATCGTACCTGAAGACATTCTATACCTATCCATTAGTTGATAACGATGGAGACATGGTATCAGTTAGGCAAAAGAATAGGAAGAAAAGAGCGAAAAAAAAAAATTTTTTTTAAATTTCCAAGGTCGTAACACATTTTGTAACAGGCTTCTCGAGCTACATTACATTTCGTTAAAAATGAACACACAAACCAAACAAACAACAACAACAACAACAAACATTTTTTTTTTTTAATATTTTCCTTTCGTTTTGATTTTAAAAGAAGGTGAAAAAGTAAATAAATAAATAAATGTTGAAACCATGATGAAATTTGCAAATTCATTCGATGAGAGAAAGTCGACAAAAAAAGTAGGCAAACATAGTCAAGTAAGCTACTTCCACGTTTCTTCTTTCTTTTTTCACACCTTTTCTAGCAAACCCCCCCCCCTACTAATTATAATATTTTTAAAAAATCCGTTTTTTCCAAAAAAAAGTAAAAAAAAAAAACCGACAAAACGACCAAATTGGGTTGAATTATTTATGATAATGACGTATGACGATGAGGGCATTACGGTCTCAATGTCGTTTATTTATTTACGGAAATAAATTTTTAATTTCCTTTTATGAATTTAAAATTTAAAAAAAAAAATTTTCCAATGGCGATCAAACGGAAAAACCCACGAAAAAAACCCAGGAGGAATCGTACTAACCTCCCCACTCGGTATCAGGGAGAGTCAAGGGTGGAGTCAGTTGAAACCACCACCCAACTTTCCCGCAGAAAGGGGTCCTTCCAGGAGTACAACCTACATTTCAGCTTCATCCCTTTCCCAAACCAAAACCATCAAGTCCACACTCGCGAGGGTGAGAATCCCAAGAGCCAAAATTAAACTCCCACTTCCAGGATTTGAACCCGCAACTCTCAACTCGGTGAGACTTTTGGGCCAATTTTTCCCCCTTTTCGAACTTAACCTTGCTACTTCCGGCTCCCCAAAGGTATCCAAGTTGAAGCTTTACCCCTAGCGGACGTTTAGTCAACGTGGAAAATCTCATCCCGAAACCCCCGCCCCCTAAAACATCCTCTAACATAGCCTCCGAGTGATTGGATTACAGGTATAACCCACGAAACAAAAAAGTGATAACGGCCAAACGACTGTTTGTGATGATAAGAAAATTTTCATTTTTAATATTACCTTATTACGATTGAATTTCCTATATAATATCTCATGATCGCTTTCATCATTTTTTCCTCCATCACCATCATCATCATCATCATCGACACCAAGAACAGACCTACTGGAAATTTCTGTCAAATTTTTTTCTTCAGTGATCGTAGATGTCATGGTTACCGATAATCACTAATTAAATCATTCACCTAGAGAGAGAGAGAGAGAGAGAAAAAAAAAAAATTAAAACAAATTAATTAAACGATACGATTTATAAAAAGGTGTTACCGACAAAAAAACCGTTTCCGTTTCCGGTGTTATAAACACCGCAATTAAAAAAAAACTACATTTACTTATTTTCCAAAAAAAAAAAAATCCAAGTTTCTTTTACTTTTAATACAAAATATAAAAAAAAATTGCGGAAAAAGTTTTTTTTTCCCCTTTCTCTTTTTTTCCTCCCTTTCATCCGCCATATTTTTTTTTTTAAATTGATTTTATCATGATTTTCCCAAACGGTTTTAGTTTTTTTTTTTTTTTATCATTCCAAAAAAAAAATAACGAGGTTATAATAACAGGAAAACTTTATGTAAAAAAAATATTATTATTATCATCACTAATTTAATTTTAAAATCTTTTTATACGACATTTTTATTAATTACTTGAAACTGGAAAAAACCGTTACAAATTGTCATTTTCCTTTTTTTTTTTGGTTTTGCAAATCTCGTTTTTTACCTACGTCGTTAATTGTTTTATTAATTTAATAATTTATTTATTTAAAATGATACCGCGTACTTTAAACTAAATCATAATTTTAATAAAAAATATATTTCAATTTATAAAATTTCCTACCCTTAAAATTATTATTAATAATAATAATAATAAAATTTTATGTAATTACCTACCTGCTTTTTTTTTTTTTTTTTTTGTAAATTTGATTTTTGTCTCACGTCGATCGTAG